ACAGTTCAGGGGAAATAGTTGAGAGGGCAGCAGAGACCTAGTGTGGCTTGACAGGGTCACTGTGTGGGGGTGAGGGGGAAGAATGATCTGATGAGTTAATTACCCAATTGTGTAAAGACAGCATCAGAACGTATGCACATGAAGAGGCCAGATCAAGGTTGCTAGTACACCCTGACTCTGCCATTTCCTCACGGTTGTGCACTTGACTATACTACCCTAGCAATGTTCTTTTAGACAGATGGGGGTGACTGCATATAATATCACTTTGTCTTCTTCAGCTGCACACATGAAGGCAATAGGCAATTGTTCAAGGCCATTACCTTGGATTCGCTCTCTCTGGAAAGCATCTCTAAGGCTTCCAAATGAGAAAGACCCTGAAATTCATCAAAGAGTAACCCATAATGGGCTTTCTTCTCTGTCGCCATGGTAACTTCAGTAGCTGTCTGCTGCTCTTCTTTCTCCTTTGCCTCTCGCAAGACCTGAAAAGGAAAAGCAGAAGAGCTAAACCGATGCTCGAAGGTACTAAGGATGCAAGGGGGAAGGCTCTTGTACAGCACTGGGAAGGAGTCACGTGATACAACATCTTTCAGGGCTTTAGCAGGAAAGCAAAAGGAAGACGAAATAAGCTTATGATCCTTTCTGTCACAGGGGAGCATATACCTGAGACAACGTGGAAGTCCTGTGCATCAAACCCTTTGTTTTCTTGAATCCTGGGTCTCCTTCAGCTATCACATCCATTGTTTTTTTCCCAATGAATTCCAAGGCGTCCAACCCTCCAGTAATTACAGTCTTCCCCTAGAAAGCAGACAGGCACATTGGGACTGCACACAGAAGGAACAAAGTTTTGTCTAGGTGAAGACATCATTTAACGTTATAATATAAAACATGGTTTCTATCAGGAGTGATATGGGTCAAAAGCTCATGTTTAAAAGCTCAAGTTGACTGCTCCTAGACCTGACAAACACCTTCCACCCTGGGCATAACAAAGGTAAAGGACTTGAAAAACAAGGTAATGTTTTATCGATACTGCTCAAATACCGCTCCACCTAAATTCCAGGTGGCCGCACAGTCCCCATCACAGGGGTAAAAGCCACCCGGCATTTAGGTAATGTTGAGGTAGGTAGTTCTCTTCCCTGTAGGCAGAAGGATATGGGCTTTTCTAGCTGGTGAAGTCTGAGACCTGCTGGAAGCTGAAAGGAGGAAGTATAGTTTGCATCCACCCTTCTCTCTTCCAGATTCCTCGAGCAGTCACCAAAAGACCCTAATTCTCCTCAGCACAGGTGTCACTTCTGAGGGTGAAGACTCCCCCTGGAACATAGCTAGCTTGAGCGTGGTGGTCTCTCGGAGAGTCTGGACCACTCTCATAGGAGCCTTCAAGGACAAGGGTGGAAGTCAGCCCTAAAACTCTTTCGAAGAGAGTGGAAATTAACCTGCCCTTGAGCTTGGCCCGCTGCTCTACAGCAAGCCAAGCCCTGAGATGACATGCACTACGCTGCCATGGAGATACACTTTCAGGCTGCTTTGTTTTCAACCACTTCAGCATCAAAGTTTAACAGGAGAGAAACCCATTTACAAATCAATAGCCAGCTGGGAGTGAAATAGAAGACGAAAATATTCCATTACGTCCAAGAGAGCTCAGACACATTTTTAGTTTCAGAATCAAAGGTCAGGATAGTCTGAATAGCGACAGGTTAATGTATGGAGAAGCTAGATGAAGTGCAGCGTCGAATAACAGCTTATTGTTAGGAGGCTTCAGACTTATGGAAAAATAAGTGCATTTAACTGATTTTCCTGCCTTTCTGGCCAACTCACCGTGCTCTGAACAGCAGTAGAAATAGTGGATAATACTCCAAGAGCCCCACTGATAGGTGAGGAACTGCCATCATCAACTCTGTGTGTAGCACTCTCTTCGGGACTCTGGCTACCTGCATGGGAGGAAGAAACCTTGCTTTAACAGAGATGGCTGAAGTTAAGATTTTAATTAGACACCATCAGTTTCAGGAAGGCAAACAAGCGTCTCAGACACGGGAAGGGACAGCAGTGCAAGAGTCTTAAAAAAAAAATTGCTCTTCCGTCACTTTGAGCCTTTACAGAGACAAACACGGACGTGATATTTTAGTAATTCAAATTTCTGTGTCAGGACACTCGGAGCAGTCCAGAAGCCTCCTCTCAGCCTTATCACTTCAACAGAAACCGTTAATATTTTTATTTTAATAA